AGTTGAATATAGTTAAGTTGGCTTTCTAATATTATTGACGTAGGCGTTGCTGTGCACTCATGCTCGAGGACCAAGCAACTCACATAAGACAATCTTACCTCCCAGCCGTGAGTAGTCCTATCCTAAAAACCTAAGGATACTATTAGTATATTAAATATTATGTGTGATTGGTGTTAATATATAACTTAAAGGTTTGATAAGGACCTTTAGGTAACGTTAGTAGATTTGGTTTTAGAAGACTTTAAGCTTATATGAATTTTAGTTTCATGTTTGCCCTCCTAACCAATCTGAACATCTTTTGAAATTTAAATTGGTTAGAGGTTGATTAAGAGATTGTGTGAATTTGATTTAGAGGTTTACATTTAGTGATATATAAAAATTAGTTACGATTTTGAATACAAAAAAAAAGGTGGGTTTAGTGCATCATTTTTTTAGAGTTGAAATAGGATTTGATTTATATTGCGTTTATATATTAGTAGAGTTAAGGAACGAACACAAACCTAGGAAAAACTTATGGTCCACTATATTGTCCATGTTTTGAATGTCTCTATCCTATAGGGATCATGCTCCTAAGTCGTTATGTACCTAAGACTCGGTCCTTAATCTCTTGTCCCTTAGGTGTCATTTAGTGTTATAGGCGGAAAAAGAAAGTGTTCACTTCTCTAAACCCTCTAGACATTCAACTATATCAGTTAGCATGTTTAGGGATTTATGAAGTTCTAAATGATAATTACTACATCAAACTCTAACACTAAATCATCACTCCAAAACTCTTTTTTGACACAAAAGACAATCAAGGTGTTCTATTGCTATTAGGCTGGGGGTACAAACAAAATCTCCAAAAAAAACGCACAAAGGCTTTTCGTGATAAAAAAACCTAGTGTAAAGCTTCACCACACAAAAAACAATATAAAGCGTTTTGTGAAGTTTTCCCAATAAAGATGCTATCATTAAAACATTTTTGACATAAAATAACATCACGATACGTTTTTAATTACAAAAGACGACCACAAAATCCTTCAATATAAAATGACTCGATGACAATTTTTTTTTTTACATAGCAACATAGTGATGAGTAG